GCTTACACTGCTGCTGCTGCTGCTGGTTCTGCCAAAGGTGTTGCCAGCACCGGTGGCACTACCAGAGTATGCGCTGCTGTAGCTGCTGCTGATGTCGGCAGCTGAGCTGGCGGTGCCAGCTGTAGCAAGCCCTTGCGCAATGGATCTGGCAGTAGGGTGGGAGGCATTGCTGGTGGGAGCACCTACTGAGGTTACTGCAGCAGACAAGGAAGAGGGGATGGCAACAGGAGGGGGATGGCAGGGGCGCTTTGACTCCTTGCTGCAGTGCTGGTGGTGCTGGTGGTGCTGGTGGTGCTGGTGGATGACGAGGGAATGACGGGAGCAGAGGCGGTGGAGTTATTGATTGAGCTTGTACTGCCGCCCCCCCAATATTAAAAGCCCTCTCGATGATGTCAGCAGCAGGCTCTGCAGCACCCGCTGCTGCGCCTCTTGCAGTCATCCCCGCCCCTGCTGGCACTGTAACCTGGCCTTCTCCCCACCCTGCGTCAAACCCTCTTTCAGCTGCTGCCGACGACCCATGGCTCATGGCATGGTGGTCAAGGCCATGCTGCCGGTGGCCCATGGCATGGTGGTCAAGGGCATGCTGCCCATGGCCCATGGTGGAAACAGCCACCGGAGTGCTTTCCCCTGATAGAGGCACCTCCTGCCACTCCCCTCCGTCCGCCTCTGTGCTTGCAGCATCACCTGCAGCGGCAGCAGCAACTGGTACTCTTGCATCAGTAACAACTGCTGCAGTAACAGCAGTAACGCCAGTAGCAGTGGTAGCAGAACCAGCAGCAGAAGCTGCTGCAGCAACAGCACCAGCAGCCGCAGCTGTAGAAGTTGCAGCATCAACAGCAGTGCGAGGAGCAGCATCGGCCGCAGCTGCTGGGGCAACAGGGGCTGAAGGAGGCAGATGGGCCGTGCCAGGGGCGGGGTTAGGAGGGCGGATGAGGGGGACGAGGGTAGAGGGAAGGGGCGCCTGAGGATCAGAGGTGCCGGGCTGTGGAGTGGCTTGCTGATCCTGGGAAGGAGCAGGGGAAGGAGCAGGGGCTGATCGAGGGGCTGATCGAGGGGCTGATCGAGGGGCATGGGTGGGGCCAGCTGCAGCAGAAGCAAATGCAGCCGCTTCAGAACTTGTAGCAGGAGCAGCTGTAGCAGGAGCAGCTGTAGCAAGAGCAGCTGTAGCGTTAGCTGCTGCCGCAGCAGCAGGATCATATGCAGTGGCAGGCAGTGGAGCAGCAGCAGCTGCGGAGCTGGAGGCAAAGGTCATGGGTTCAAATCTCCGCGTCAATGAAAAGCCTCCACCATCATCATCCGCTTCCCCTGAGGGATCACCTGAGAGGTAACCTGAAGGGCCATCTGAACCTTCATCCTGGCGAGACGCAAACGACGAGAAGAACGAGTCAGGCAGGTCGGAAGGTTCCGGAGGCGGTTCTACCCCTAGCGCCTGGAAATTTACCGTCACCTGCCCGCTGCCTGCCTGGAAACTTGGATCGACAATGGAGTCCGGGTCTGGTTCTACTGTGGCCATGCGAAACGCAGCAGCAGTAGCAGATGCAGGATCGGACGCAGGGGTGGAGGAGGATGAGGAGGTATTTGCGAGAGAGTAAGAGGCTGGATTCTCCCCCTGCTCCTGCTGCTGCTTCTGCTGCTGCTTCTTGCGCCAGCGGAGCTGAAACTCGAGGTGGTCGAGAGAATGCGCTTCAGGGGAGAGCAGGAAGGAGAGGAATGCGAGCACCGCCGCAGCGACCGCCGCAAGTAGATAGGCGATCCACGGGGAAAGGTACTGGTACGCAAACGAGCCAAACAGCGGGCCGATCAGCGCGCCCAGCGACGCCCACCCCAGCAACGACCCGATCACCCCGATAAGCAGAGAGGACTCAGAGGACGAAGCAGAAGGGCCCGATGTGGGGGTGTTCACGCCGCTGCTGCCATCCATGCCATCGGCAAAGGCGGTGGGGAAGTGGGTACCCGTGAGGGAGTAGTCCGCTGCTGCGGATCGGAACACCTGGTCGCTGCTCCGAACCACGAACAGACCCTCGGATGCCGAACCTCCGCCTCCGCCTCCGGCCGAACCTGGAGCACCGACCCCTCCAACTTGCGCTCTTCGCTCCCCTCTCCCTCCTGCTCGTCTTCCTCCTCCTCTTCCCCTCCCCCTTGCTCTCAACGCCCCCCTCTTGCTCTCATTTCGGGCCCCATTCCTCCTGAAAACTCCCTCCAACCCTGACCCTCTATTTCCGGCTGCTGCTGCTGCTGCTCCTCCTCCTCCTCCTCTTCCTCCTGCTGCTGCTGCTGGGAAGGGGTGAGTCGCTCGTAAGGGGTGTTGCTTATGCCGCTGAGGTTGCTCGTCCCTCTCCTCCCATCCCCCACTAAACCATAACTTAAGGACGTTCTGCCCCGGGCAGTCCACAACCTGCCCGAGCCCAAAAGTTTGTGCAGCCCCTCGCTGCCCCTCTGCGCCAGCTGGTCCACCACCTCGTCCAACGACGCGCCGGACCCGCAAACCCGGGCAGCAAAAAAAAGCCCGAGGCTGTGCACGGATTGGGTGACAATCCCCTGAAGCACCAGGGCAGCGGCGAGCGACCCCGCCCCAGCGATGGGAAACGCGAGGGAGAGAGAGGCGAGGGTGGAGAGAGAGAAGGTGGCGGCGAAGATGGTGGGGACAGAGAGGAGGAGGAGGAGCACGCCGATGGGGAGCGAGGCGACGAGGGAGGTGAGGTTGCGCGCGGCGAGCAGGAGCGTGACGGCGCGCTGCGAGAGGGTGAAGCGACGCGCGTAGCCGGGGAGAATGGGGGCCACGGAGCTCATGGTGGCAGAATCCAGGAAGGTTCCGGCTGGAGTGGGGCGCGGGTGAGGGATGGGAGGAACGGGAGAGAGGAAAAAAAGGTGGCGTTTTTTTCTCGTTTTTTCTCCTTTTTTTCAAATCACGCGTTTTTTCAGCCAAGTCAAGAGTAGCGGGGAGGGGGGAGGAGGGGAGGGGGGATGGTCGCGACCGAGCTCGTCGTGGCAACGTCCAGGAAGGTTCTTGCTGTGGTGGGGAGGGGATAAGAGGAAAGAGGGAGAAAGGGAAGAGAAGAACGAAGGGCACGACGAGCTGAAGTGCTGTAGCTAGACGCAGGGAAGCCTGTAACGGGAATAGGGCAGCAACTAGTGACATGCAGGGATGTCTTGTATAGGGATGCGAAAGGCAGCAAATGCAGCAAATGCGGCAAATGTGGCGATTGCGGCGAATGCACCAAGTGCAGCGAATGCGGCAAATGCGGGGATTCTAAGCACCCGATATAAAGCGCAGGAATCGCTTCTCCATGGAGTTAGGCCCGCCGCGAGCTTGCAACAGCGCGGCGCGTTGGAGGCGACGCGCCTCAGCCGCGTCGGCATCGCGCGGCGACGTGAAGCCCGATCCGACTGCCCCCGCACTAGTGCGACCCGAGGACGACCGCATCGCGTGAATCACTGGGCAGCGGATAATTAGTGGGTGGTCGCCGACGGCCCCGGAGTCAGACTATGGCGGGGCGTGCCTAAGGTAGTAGAATGCGCCTGTCCATAAACTGGCGTATGGAAAAGTTCGTCCCGAGGAGCGAAACGACAGGGAAACGTGGCGGATGTGATGAACTCGGAAACTGCTTTTGAGTCGACTCAAACGCACGTGGCGGATGTCATGAACTCGGAAACGGAAACCGCATCGAGGAACACAAGACGCAGCACATTGTTGTGACGTTCGATGGTACGCCGGGCGCCTCACAACGGTAGCAGCCTGGCCTATTACTTATTATCACTAGAGCAAGCACAGTCTTCGGGCCTGGCATCGCCTCGCCAGGACCTAGAAGGGCTTCTAGTGATTCTGTATCAGTGATATCATATCACCAACTTTGTGCATCGTGATGCCGACTTGATCCAAACAGATGTCCACCTACCCATCCACACCATCTTACTCCTTCACGCGATTTTGACAGCCGCGATACCAGCTCAATATTGAAAACACTGAAGCATTATCTTGAGCATTCAATATGTTATACTGATACAGAATGCTCGATGTGTTCACGAAAGCGGACGTCGGGTAACCCGACCGGACTTCGAAGTTTGAACATTCAAAACTTCGACCCGTTGTCAAATTCGGGCTCCCCGACAAGCTGCCCGAACCTCAAATTTCCTGCCTCTCGTCCAGACCCTCCCTCTGCCCGAAACCAGCATCCGCCGTTCGATCGACAGCAAATGTACCATTCACTTCGTTGAACCTTGGGAACTCCGCTTCTGATTCTTCTTCCAATCCAACAGCTGAAACAGCCATTTCTCAGTCGAGTCAAGACTCAAGACCCCCAAAGCTTCCCTTACTCCATTGTCGTCCTCGTGACGCCTTCGCTGTAATTCCCAGCCTCCCCGTTGCCTGGTCAACTAGACACTCAGACCCGTAGTAGTATTCTTGGGAGCTGCTATGAGCGTGTCAACTCTAAGTCTTTCCCCTGAGAGCTGATAAGTGTTGCCTTCCGAGCACAAGCGTCAGGCAAGCTAATTACTCCGGCGGTACCGATAGTACCGCCATGGCTCAGCGGTCCCTGTGGAGATTCTATTCCAAGAAAGAAAACGCGTCTGTTCCGCAGTCGTCTCAGCCGCTCCTATCAAACCAGAATCCGCCGGCGAGCAGCCAAGGACCGTGGGGATCTACTAAAGACCCCGCTAAAGCGGTCTCCGATAGCAGTCCGTTCAAGACTCCACGGAACCCGTACGCTTTCAGCGGCACGAATGAGGGGACGGAACCGAAAGGACGCGTGATCGCTGATCAGCCTTCCCTGAATAAGCCTCCCCCGAGTCAACGGTCAACGGGGTACTCTGATCCGCGCAGGACGGAGCCAGGCGACGCGGAAAACGGTTTTGGTACTCCGTCGGCAAGAGCTGGGATTGGTCGAGATGGTCGAGAGGGTCGAGCTAGCTTCAGCCCACGGCCTCACTTCACTCCGCTGACTCCTGGGATCAAGCCATGCGTCCCGAGAGCGAAGAGAGGAAGGGACGATGCAGATGTTGACGACAATGCGAATGACTACAGCGAGGGGGCTAACGGGCTACAGAGCAAGAAGTTTGCCTCCGCGACGCAGCCTGAGCGGTCTGCTGGCGGAGCATCTCAGCGCCCTTCGTTATGTCACAATCTGATATGTCACAACCTGATGTGCCACAACAGCATGATGACCGGTCCAGGCGCGCCGAGTTTCTTCGGGCATTGGGAGCAGATGATCTGGAGGGCGGGCAGGATAAGAATGCGGGCATGTGGGCCGAAGCCCGGTCGAAATTCGAGTGGCTGCTGCCCGTAAATATTCGGGATGGGAAAGGGAGGAGGCCTGGGGAGCCGGGTTACGATTCGCGAAGTGTAACCGTCCCGCGTGCGATTTTCGACAAGCTGTCAGCGTCACAGAAGCAGTACTGGAGCACGAAATCGCGCTACATGGACACCATCCTCTTCTTCAAAGTGGTGAGTCTTTCCGAACTCCTCCATTCCTTCCACTTTTGAGTCGACCCAAAAGCATCTCGACAACGTGTCGGCGTCGCAGAAGCAGTACTGGAGCACGAAATGTCGCTACATGGACACGATTCTCTTCTTTAAAGTGGTACGTGTTGCGGAACACTCCTCTCCATGTCCCAGTTGACTTCTGAGTCGCCTGGAGCACGAAATGCCGCCACATGGACACAATTCTCTTCTTCAAAGTGGTGAGTCTGCTTAACTCTTCCCCTCCTTCTGCCTAAGTTTGCTTAGAAGCTTCTTCGACAAGCTGTTGGCGTTGCAGAAGCAGTACTGGAGCACGAAATGCCGCTACATGGACACGATTCTCTTCTTTAAAGTGGTGAGTCTTGCTGAACACACCCCCTCCCGTGCTAAAGGCTTTACGCCCAGCACGTCCCAGCAAGTTCCAGCAAGTTCCAGCAAGTTCCAGCAAATTCCAGCACGTTTCAGCACGTTCCAGCACGTTTCAGCACGTTCCAGCACGTTCCAGCACGTTCCTTACTTCCAATAGGCCAGATCAAGGCCCAGGTCTGTCTCCGTGTCGGGCTCGGAGGTCGAATTTGGATCAATGTTGGAAATCTGATGCGTCCCTGCCACGTGTCATGACCCTACAGGGCAAGTTCTACGAGCTGTACGAGGTGGATGCTGAGGTGGGCCACAAGGAGCTCGACTGGAAGCTGACCGTCAGTGGAGTGGGCAAGTGTCGCCAGGTGGGCAGTCTTCAACTTCGGATTATGTCTCTAGGAGTAAGATGCATCTTGGGAGATTGAGTTTCAGGTGGGTATCACGAACGTGATGATCATCACCGCATGTCTCCACACACTCGTCAACAGAAAGGTTGTTGACAGGTTGCTGACTGTCTTTGTTTTGCATTTTATCTACTCACATTCTCACTTCAAGTGCTATCCTCCGCAAACCCTCCGAACCAATACTGACAGCACTCTCTTTCCCCCCCCTCCCAAGCAGGTGGGAGTAGTTTGGTTGTGAGAGACGTCTCAAAAGTAAACTTTCTTGCGCACAAATCCTCGGAACCAATGTGTTCACTCTCTTTCCTCTCCCCGCCATGCAGGTGGGAGTGCCCGAGAGTGGCATTGAGGACGCCGTTCAAAAGCTCGTGGCCCGGGGGTGAGCCCCACTGCCCCTAGCTCATGCTCTGCAATGTTCTTCCCACTTGCGCTCTGTTTCTCCAGCCATTTGAAACCACAACGCGCCATGTTCGCTGCCTTAACTCCTTCTATGTCCATCCCTTCATGTCCATCCCTTCATGTCCATCCCTTCATGTCCATCCCTTCATGTCCATCCCTGCATGTCCATCCCTGCATGTCCATCCCTTCATGTCCATCCCTTCATGTCCATCCCCTCCCCCCTGCATGTCCATCCCTGCATGTCCATCCCTGCATGTCCATCCCTGCATGTCCATCCCTGCATGTCCATCCCTGCATGTCCATCCCTGCATGTCCATCCCTGCATGTCCATCCCTGCATGTCCATCCCTGCATGTCCATCCCTGCATGTCCATCCCTGCATGTCCATCCCATGTCCATCCCTGCATGTCCATCCTGCATGTCCATTCCCCCTGCATGTCCATCCCTGCATGTCCATCCCTGCATGTCCATCCCTGCATGTCCATCCCTGCTGTCCATCCCTGCATTCCATCCCTGCATGTCCATCCCCTGCATGTCCATCCCTGCATGTCCATCCCTGCATGTCCATCCCTGCATGTCCCCATCCCTGCATGTCCATCCTGCATGTCCATCCCTGCATGTCCATCCCTGCATGTCCATCCCTGCATGTCCATCCCTGCATGTCCATCCCCCCCCTGCATGTCCATCCCTGCATGTCCATCCCTGCATGTCCATCCCTGCATGTCCATCCCTGCATGTCCATCCCTGCATGTCCATCCCTGCATGTCCATCCCTGCATGTCCATCCCTGCATGTCCATCCCTGCATGTCCATCCCTGCATGTCCATCCCTGCATGTCCATCCCTGCATGTCCATCCCTGCATGTCCATCCCTGCATGTCCATCCCTGCATGTCCATCCCTGCATGTCCATCCCTGCATGTCCATCCCTGCATGTCCATCCCTGCATGTCCATCCCTGCATGTCCATCCCTGCATGTCCATCCCTGCATGTCCATCCCTGCATGTCCATCCCTGCATGTCCATCCCTGCATGTCCATCCCTGCATGTCCATCCCTGCATGTCCATCCCTGCATGTCCATCCCTTCATGTCCATCCCTGCATGTCCATCCCTGCATGTCCATCCCTGCATCCTTCATGTTCCATTCGCTGCGTGATTGGTGAAGTTGGTATGGAATGGAGTTACCCTGCATCTCCTTCCCTTCCCTCTTGTGCACATCTGTCCTCATCTGCCCGCTACAACGCCGGTCTCACTCCATCCCCCTTTCCTTCATCTCTTGGCCCTCTTCCTCTTCCTCTTCCTCTTCCTCTTCCTCTTCCTCTTCCTCTTCCTCTTCCTCTTCCTCTTCCTCTTCCTCTTCCTCTCCCTCTCCCTCTCCCTCTCCCTCTCCCTCTCCCTCTCCCTCTCCCTCTTCCTCGTCCCCTTCCTCCTCCGCCGCTGTCAGCTACAAGGTCGGTCGCATGGAGCAGCTGGAGACCAGCGAGGAAGCCAAGGCAAAGAGAGGGCCAGGGGCGGTATGTGACTATTCATTCACGGATGTGACTGTATGCAGGCAAGGTATGTCACTGTGCAGGTACGCACGCCATGTGCTCACTGGCTTGTGCTTGGAAGGGAGAGGCTGGATGCATGATGCGCTCATCAGCATGATGCTCTCATCAGCATGGGCGCTCGCCAGTAGGTGGCGTGGCATGTGATTCTAACGATGCAACCGCCCCTTCTGTATCGTGCGTCTACTTCCCTGGCAGATGGTGCAGCGCCAGCCCACTCAGATCCTCTTTCTGAGGCACCAGCCTTAGTTGCTACAAACGCTCTGGCAGACACGCGTTTAGCGTTCAAACGCTTGCGTTTGAACGCAAACGCCAAACGCACCCAAAAACGCAAACGCTCACTGGGATTTTTTCCGGTCTGCCCCCCCGAAAAAAAACACGAGATTGTCGTTGGAGAATAGCCTTAAGGATAGATGATTTATATGAGATGTGAGGATGCTGGCTTAAATGTTAAGCACAGTTATTTTTTATGAGACAAAATGCTTGCTGGTAGAACCCCTATGTTTCCCCCCTCCCCCACAGGAATCTTGAACCCCTGCCTGGGTAAAAATTTTACCCCTGCCCGGGCAAGCGTTTGCCTAGCGTTCACGTAAACACTGCCGAGCGTTTAGCGTTCAAACGCCAAACGCGTTTGTAGCAACTGAGGCACCGGCAGCTCACTCAGCTCACCCAGATTCTCTTTTGCATCGTGCGCCCACTTCCCTGGCAGATGGTGCAGCGCCAGCTCACTCAGATCCTCTCTCCAGCCACCCTCACAGAAGGGTCCCTTCGACCAGAAGCCGTGCACCTCCTGGCGATTAAGGAGGTAAGAGCTAACAGGGGTAGAGATTTGTAGAGGCCGTGCATCTCCTGGCCGTGCATCTCCTGGCGACTGAGGAGGTAAGAGTTAAGGCAGCGAAGCCACCATTGGTGAAAGATATCCGATGGTATGCAGTTTCAAACACGAACAGACAGTGCAGTGAGTTTGTCTAACAGGCTTCCCACTCTACATTGCATTTATCTGCATCTGCCTTTTCAGACCCTTGCAGAAGCAGACGGCGTCAACTCCAGCAGTCCCAACGGCAGCAGCAGCAGCATCACCCCCAGCAGCACCCCCAGCGGCAGTACCGAGTCCATTCTGGTTGGTTTCGCGTTCGCTGACGTGGCAGGCGGGAGCATCTACGTCGGCGCCATGCGGGATGACTCGTCCCGCTCCGCCCTCTCAGCGCTTCTCATCCAGGTGTGCATCGTGCAAAGCAGAAGCGTGTAACAACTTTGGATCTGCTTTGCCTTTTGGCCAAGGGACGTGCTTTTCTTTGGGGAGCTGAGAGCTGCCAAGGGACGAGACATGAGTCCATCTGATTGTATTCTCGCTCGGGACAAGCTCAAAGACAGACCTCTGAAACCTCTCGTGTTCGAACCCCCCCCTCTCATGTGTTGCGGAAGCCTCTCATGTGCAACTGAAACCTCTCGTGTCTGAAACCTCTCGTGTCTGAAACCTCTCGTGTCTGAAACCTCTCGTGTCTGAAACCTCTCGTGTCTGAAACCTCTCGTGTCTGAAACCTCTCGTGTCTGAAACCTCTCGTGCCTGAAACCTCTCGTGTCTGAAACCTCTCGTGTCTGAAACCTCGCGTGTCTGAAACCTCTCGTGTCTGAAACCTCTCGTGTCTGAAACCTCTCGTGTCTGAAACCTCTCGTGTCTGAAACCTCTCGTGTCTGAAACCTGACATGTCTGCAACTAAACCCTAATCCGTGATCCTTCTACTGCGCTCCATCTTTGCAGGGTTTTTTTTTTTAATTCTCAAAAATACCCTCTAAACCCTAATCCGTGATCCTTGTACTGCGCTCCATCTTTGCATTCTGCTCGTTCACTCGGGCGTCCATCTCTTCTGGGGCGTGCAGTCGTTCCGTGCTTCCCACCCATCCAAACCATCATCCCGCCTCCCCCTTCCTGCCTCCCTCCCTCTCTTCCTCGCGTCAGGTGGCCCCTCAAGAGCTGCTTTTTGAGCTGGATGGTGAGCCCCCACTCGCTCTGTGCTCTCTGCTTTGTGCTCTGTGCTCTATTCTCTGTGCTCTGCGCTCTTCGCTCTTTTCTCTGTGCTCGGTGCCCTGTGCTCTATTCTCTGCGCTCTGAGCTCTTTGAGCTGCTCGTTACCTTATCGCCCTTCTACACATGTCTAACTGGGTTCTGCTTCTGGAAATTCTTGCTCCAGGGCTCTCCTCTGACACGAGGAAGCTTCTGCGAAGGAGCTCAGGCCCAGGAATCCTTCCGATGCAGCTGACAGCCCTGGCGCCAGGTTCGGAGTTCCCCGAGCCTAAAGCAGCTCTGGCCCGGCTAAAGACTTCTAGCTTTGGAACCACACAGGAAGCCTCGCAGAGGTGGCAGCAGCAGCAGGGGCAGGTGTTTTCTGGGTCAGGGGGATGCGGAGGAGAGGGGAGAGGAACTGGTTCTCTGGTGCAGTTGCTGGTGGGAGGAGGAGAGGAGGAGGCGGAGGTAGCAGCTGCTGCACTCGTGGCACTTGGTAGTCATTTGGAGAGACTCAAGGTGGGCGCTTGATTCCTTCTTTTCTTCCTCCCTGTTTCCTCTTCCCTCCCTGTTTTCGCTTCTCCCCCCCCTCCCTCCCTCCCCCTCCCCCACCCCCTCCCCCCTCCGTTGTCCCCTTCCTTGCCTCTCCCTGTCGCTCCCTCCTCATTTTTTGGCTTTCTTTAGTCCTTCACTCTCTCTTCCCCCCTATAACTCCCCCTCCCCTTCCCCCACTTCTCCCCACCCCTCCCTCCTTTCCCCCTTCCCCTTCCCCTTACCACCAACCCAGCTGTGTCTACTGTGAAGCGTTGCAGTGCTCGCTTGTCAACTTTTGAGGCGACTCAAATCCTTCCTCCCCCTCCCTCTTTTCCCCCCAACCAAACTGTGTGTACGGGTGGTTTCCGCCCTCTTGTCAAATCACACCCCCGCGCCCCCCTCTTTCCCCCTCTTTCCCCTCTTTCCCCCTCTTTCCCCCTCTTTCCCCCTCTTTCCCCCTCTTTCCCCTCTTTCCCCCTCTTTCCCCCTCTTTCCCCCTCTTTCCCCCTCTTTCCCCCTCTTTCCCCCTCTTTCCCCCTCTTTCCCCCTCTTTCCCCCTCTTTCCCCCTCTTTCCCCCTCTTTCCCCCTCTTTCCCCCTCTTTCCCCCTCTTTCCCCCTCTTTCCCCCTCTTTCCCCCTCTTTCCCCCTCTTTCCCCCTCTTTCCCCCTCTTCCCCCTCTTTCCCCTCTTTCCCCCTCTTTCCCCCTCTTTCCCCCTCTTTCCCCCTCTTTCCCCCTCTTTCCCCCTCTTTCCCCCTCTTTCCCCTCTTTCCCCCTCTTTCCCCCTCTTTCCCCCTCTTTCCCCCTCTTTCCCCCTCTTTCCCCTCTTTCCCCCTCTTTCCCCCTCTTTCCCCCTCTTTCCCCCTCTTTCCCCCTCTTTCCCCCTCTTTCCCCCTCTTTCCCCTCTTTCCCCCTCTTTCCCCCTCTTTCCCCCTCTTTCCCCCTCTTTCCCCCTCTTTCCCCTCTTTCCCCCTCTTTCCCCCTCTTTCCC